GTGTGATCTCTGCGTGGGATTACAGTTTAATTCTGTTTTGTTTGTGAGGCGGTAAGTGTGAACGTGGGTACTAATGTACGTAAGTGAGTGTGTGAGTACGTGTACATGTTTGTGGGTGTGTGTATGTGTATGTTATTTGTGTGTGCGTGTCGTGTCGTGTACATGTTTGTGAGTGAGTGTAGGTGTGTGCTTGTTTGCGTGTGCGTGTTTGTTTGTGCGTGTGAGAGAGAGATAGAGAGAGAAAGAGAGAGAGAGAGAGAGAGAAGCAAGAGAGAGAGAGAGAGAGAGAGAGAGAAGCGAGAGAGAGAAGCGAGAGAGAGAGAGAGAGAGAGAGAGAGAGAGAGAGAGAGAGAGTAGGTGTGCTCGGTAGGTGGGTATGGAGGTTTGTGCCTGTGCCTGTGTGTGTGTATGTGTGTGTGTGTGTGTGTGTGTGTGTGTGTGTGTGTGTGTGTGTGTGTGTGTGTGCGTGCGTGAGCGACATGCACGCGCGTGCGTAAGCACGGTCTATCTAGTGATCGTCCATGCCTCTCTCACTTGGCCATTATAAACCCTTGACGAGGGTAGCGTCTTTTTTTCTGACGGCAGTTAGGAGAAAAACAGCTGTCAGGACTGCCCATTGCTACAGGTACGAAACATTTATATCTTTATTTGAGCGGTGATTTCTTTTTTTCGGAGGTTGTACGTGGAATAATTTTAGTGGGTGATTGGCGGGTGCTCTGGTGTGGTTTGCTTCTTTTTTCCTATTAAAATAAAAGCCCAATGTCGTTCTTGTCTCTCCTCCTCCTTTTTGTGTTTGTTGAGCTCTTGTAACACCTCTAATCTTCGGCACGTATATGACTTTATTGTGTTTCAAGTGCCGTAAAACTCCTACTTATACTAAAACTGACGGCAGTTAGGAGAAAGACAGCTGTCAGGTCAGGACTGCCCATTGCTACAGGTACGAAACATTTATACATCTATTTTTATTTAAGCGGTGATTTCAACTTTTTTTTTTGAGTTTGTGGGGTTGGTTCGAGGTTTAATTTTTTTGTACATGCCTTTAATTTTGAATTTCAAAATAATTTTAAAATAAAAAAACAACCACAAAAAACCCACACAAAAAACGACCCCAAAACAACAATATCCAACAGAGGAATAGACTCTATACCGTACTTCTCATAATTATTTCTTTGTTTTCGGAAACAAATTGTGCGAAATAAATTGTGTTAAATAATAGTTCAATTCGCTTCCGTCTCTGGTTTTGGAAAAGATAATCGTTTTTTGAGGGTCTGGAAAAGAATTCATGTAAGGCATGGCGTAGGCTGTAGGGCGCCACTTGTTGGTGGTGTTTCTGTCCTTCACCTCTGTTGTTGCAGTCTTTTTTTTTTCTTTCTTTTTTGTCCTTTTGTTCTAAGTGACTATGATTGTGTCAACCTGCGTCTGTTTAAAAAAATAAAATAAAACGAAGAAAAACAAATTCAAGACATCATTCGCGAAAGATGCTGTTAAAAAGAACTGGGGATCGGAATGTACTAGGCTGTAACCCTGCAACACTCACTGCTCTCTTTGC